CTAACATACCTGTAGAAACCTTTCTTGTTACCCTTCATGTCCTTTGCTAGCTGCAACTCCAATTGTGCCTTGGCCTTTCTGCTTACACCCCTGCATGCTTTAGCAATATTTTTATATTCCTCCCTAGTCATCTGTCCAAATTTCCACTTCTTGTAAGCTTCCTTTTTGAGTTTAAGATCACCAAAGATTTCACTGTTAAACCAAGCTGGTTGCCTGCCATATTTGCTATTCTTTCTGCACTTCGTGATGGTTTGTTCCTGTGCCCTCAATAAGGTTTAGGATGAAAAGTCCCATTGATTTAAAGAGGGTCAGGATTGCAACCCTGCTCATGAGAGCTAATCAATTCTTTTCCCTCCCAGCATATTAATTGATACAACAGTCTGATTCTCTCTCACTTTCACTCATAGGATGCTGCTGACTTCCATGGATTTATTCCTCAACTCCACTACGCCCTGGTCTGCACTATGAGTTTAGGTCTAATTTAGCAGCGTTAGATCGATTTAACCCTGCGCCCTTCCACACAACGAAGCCATTTCTGTCGACTTAAAGGGCTCTTAAAATTGATTTCTGTACTCCTACCCAACGAGGGGATTAACACTGAAATCAACCCTGCTGGGTCAAATTTGGGGTAGTGTGGATGCAATTCAATGGTATTGGCCTCCGGGAGCTATCCCAGAGTGCTCCATTGTGACTGCTCTGGACAGCACTTTCAACTCCGATGCACTGGCCAGGTAGACAGAAAAAGCCCTGCAAACTTTTGAATTTCATTTCCTTTTTGGTCACCGTGGCGAGTTCATGAGCACAGGTGACCATGCAGAGCTCATCAGCAGAGGTGACCATGCAGTCCCAGAATCGAAAAAGAGCTCCAGCATGGACTGAACGGGAGGTACTGGATCTGATCGCTGTATGGGGAGACTAATCCGTGCTATCAGAACTCTGTTCAAAAAGACGAAATGCCAGAATATTTGAAAAAATCTCAAAGGGCATGAAGGACAGAGGCTATAACAGGGACCTGCAGCAGTGCTGCGTGAAACTTAAGAAGCTGAGGCAAGCCTACCAAAAAAACAGAGAGGCAAACAGCTGCTCTGGGTCAGAGCCCCAGACATGCTGCTTCTATGATGAGCTGCATGCCATTCTTGGGGGTGCCCCTACAACTACCCCAGCCCTGTGCATGGACTCCATCAATGTTCTCTAAAATGTGTCTTTTTAAATACACCTCTACCTCGATATAATGCTGTCCTCGGGAGCCAAAAAATCTTATCGCGTTATAAGTGAAACCGCGTTATGTTGAACTTGCTTTGATCCACCAGAGTGCGCAGCCCCGCCCCCCCCCCGAGCCGCTGCTTTACCGCGTTATATCCAAATTCGTGTTATATCGGGTAGCGTTATAGTGGGGGTAGAGGTGTACTACTCTCTCTCTTTTTCCTCATGCAGCTGAAAATGTTTCAACGCTCCCCCTATCATCTCCGTCCCAGAGGCTAGTGAAGCTTAGATGCCCTCGAGAAGAAAACACACTCGAGATGAAATGTTCTCTGAGCTCATGCAGTCCTCCCACGCTGAAAGAGCCCAGCAGAATGCGTGGAGGCAAACAATGGCAGAGTGCAGGAAAGCACAAAATGAAGATGAGGGACGCGCGAGAGGACAGGTAGCGGGAGCAAGAGGAAAGTTGGTGGGGTCAAGATGATAGGTGGCAGCAGCGTGATGAGAGGAGGCAGGAAGCAATGCTCAGGCTACTGGAGGATCAAACTGATATTCTCCAGCATATTGTTGAGGTGCAGGACAGGCAGCAGGAGCACAGACCTCCGCTGCAGTCCCCGTGTAACCAACCGCCCTCCTCCCCGAGTTCCATAGCCTCCTCACCCAGACGCCCAAGAATGCGGTGGGGGGGGGCCTCCGGGCACCCAACCACCCCACCCCAGAGGACTGCCCAAGCAACAGAAAGCTGGCATTCAATAAATACATTTTGAAGTGCAGTGTGGCCTTCTCCTTCCCTCCTCCACCATCCCACCCGGTGCTTCCCTCCTCGCCCACCCCTCCCGGGCTACCTTGGCAGTTATTTCCCCATTTGTGTGACGAATTAATAAAGAATGTATGAATTTGAAAGAGCAATGACTTTATTGCCTCTGCAAGCAGTGTACTGCAAAGTCCCCGAACGGGCCACCAAGTGTAACTTTAGCGCCCTCGTGGCCAAGATGGAGTCTGCTCTGTAGGCAGCTCTGGCCAACAGAGGGCATGCGCAGGAATGCAGCAGGAGAAATCCCTTCCACCCCAGGGGCACCTGTTCCAACCCCCCAGAGTGAACACACCCACCCACAGGAAAAGTACAATGGATATAACAAAGGGAGATATTTATTTACAGAGGGCTGAGAGGAGAAATACAACAAGGGGAAATATAGGGGGAGCAGTAGAACGGGGCTGCATCCAAGCCAAGGCCCCACAGGCCCAGTGGTACCACAGTCTGGAAGGGCAGACTCTGAGCAATGTGTCTGCACACAGAGTTCAGGAGTCCTGAGCAAATTCCCAGTTCCGTGCTGAGTCTTGGGTGCTTCTGGTCGTCTTCGGCACCAGTGAACTTTCCCCCAACAACCCCCTCCGGTGCCCTCTTCTGTCGCTCTCTGCAAAGCCACACAGAGCGACCCCCTCCCCACTTAACTAGCTACAGCCTCCCTCCTTGTCCCCCATGCAGAGTCCCAAGCCCCAGTACTCACAGCCCCATGCAGCTCTGGGCAGCCGTGATACTGGGTCCAGCTCCGGCCTGTCCTTCTCGGGCGAGTCCCCCTGGCACAGTGCTCCTCCTGGCTCCTGTCCTGGGCTGTCCCCGATCGGCCCTGTCCTTCCCAGGCTTCAGGCAGGTTCTTTTTCCTTTACTTTTCCAGGGTCTCTGGCTGCCCCTCCCTCTCCCTGGAGCTCCAGCGCTGCCCCCTGAAGTTTCCCTACTTTTTTCTTACTCTCCCCCTCCCCCCAGGAAAAAGATTTAAAGGGGCCATGTTCTCTAAACCCCAAAGGGGTTACACAAGGATGGTCTTCTCCAAGACTGCGGCTTCTGCCCTGACCCTTATGTATCTTGCCTGTGCACAGCAATGGTCCCCCCCCCGCCCCGATGGCACAGTTGCGGGGGAATGTTACTCTTAATGGGACAAGGAACAAAGCAGCTCTGCCAAAGAACCTGCGGAAGAGGATTGCCCAGTATTTGCATGAGACTTTCCGTGAGATCTCTGAGGCCAATTACTGCAATGTGAGAGAATCCATCAATACCCGGTTCCGCCTCTAGGTACCGCAGACCCAAGCCTGCTTTCTGCAACCCTTCTCACCCCACCAGCCTGCTTCCAACAACTCACTTCCCAAAATCAAAGCCACTTACCAGGCACCTCCTCTGATCTTTGCTCTGCTGTGACAGGTCATGCTCCTCTGGGGTAAAAAATAGCTCCTGCCTGCATGCATCTATGGATGTTAAGTCATCCTCTGGCTCTGGAACCCCCTCCTCTTCATCACCCTCACCCCGGATTTCCTCCTGCTCCTGGCTCGGTGCACTCTGGGCTGGCACAGCACCCAAAGTGTCCACGGGGCTCTTCGGAGTGGAGGTGGGGTCGCCTCCAAGTATCGTGTCCAGCTTGTTGTCGAACCAGCAGGTCATGGGGGCAGCACTGGAGTGGCGGTTTGCCTCCTGTGTCTTGTGGGTCGGTGTTCCGCAGCTCCTTCATTTTAACCCTGCACTGCAGTGTGTCCTGGTCATGGTCCCTTTCAGTCATGGCCCTTGATATCTGCCTGTAGCTTTTGTAATTCCTACGGCTGGAGTGCAGATGGGACTGGACCGTCTCCTTGTAAAGTTATTTGGTTTATTTATGATGGGTGTTTGGAAACCCTTTCTTTAACAAGCTGCCCCGACATGGAAGGGGTAGAGTAAGCCTGTGCGTGGACTCTGGGGGATGGGACAGCTCGCATGCAAATCAGTACAATTAACATTCAATGCCCACGCTGAGAGGAGAAGAGAGAAGGAGAGAGCTCCGAGAGGCCATGTCTCTACTACTTACCTCCTGATCGTGATCTCAGTCCTGATCCGGCTGCTGCTGGTCCGACTTCCTCCTGTGCTTCCTGACGTCCCTGAACACAGTGACAGGTCTGGATCTAACTTCCCAGAGGAAAACCAGCTGAACCGGGTAATAGTAACAGGCAGAACAGCAGGCCAGTTACTAGCAGTCAGCATCAATATTGCTTTTCTTTTTGGTATTCCTATTTGGATTCATATTTCTATTCACGCTGTTATTCCCATTCCCATTTGAATTCACACTTCCATTCATATTGCCAATGCCATCCATAGGAGTTCATAGTCATATATCTGTTCCTATTTCCCTTTATAGACCCAGTAATACTCCAGTTCATACCCAATTCATACTGAGATTCAAATTAATACCCCTTTAGATTTCCATTTCTATTCCCCTTCCCATTCATATTTATGTTTGGATTCATACCCACTTTAACCCATCACTGTTTTCAGGCTCTAGGATTATATGGCCTCCTGAAGTCTCTTTCTGCCCCAATCTTCTATGATGGGGGTTGTGCTGTTGCGCTGGCCCCTATAAAAAGGATGGATTCTTATCCAGACAATTATCAATGGGCAGAGGGGGAAGATCACTGCGGGATTACTGACCCCACCCTGCCTGCCAAACAATTCTCATTCAGGGCTCAACATGCCCCCTGAGTTGGGTTGCATGAATGGCTCGGCTTCTCCACTGACTTCACTGGGAGAAGGAGGAAGCCTTAAAATGGACAGTACGTGATCAGAGAGTCACTAGGGATATCCACAGTCTAGCGAGGTCGGATGCACCTGTTCTTTCTTCCTGCTCTGTGAAATACACGCTGGGCATCTGCTCCGCGAGCTCCCCTGGGGAGATGTAGTCAGCAGAGCCTCTGTCTCCTAGGACAGCTGTGTGCAGGGTGATATTTTGTGTCTTTTTTCATCACTGTGGAGCGTGATCGCCACCTGCAGGAAATTCCTTTCCCTATGTCTGCAGGGGAGGTTTTTGTCTGAGCTCAGACCGGCTTCCCCTCACTGTGTCTCTGGCACAATAATACCGGGCGGTGTCCTCGGGCTTCAGGCCGGTCATTTGTAAGTATACCGTGGTGACGGAGTTGTCTCTGGAGATGGTGAATCGCCCTTCGACTGCTTTAGAATACCACTGACTCGATCCGCTTGGGGAACTAACTCTAGCCACCCACTGCAGCCCCTTCCCAGGAGCCTGACGGATCCAGTTCATATCGTAGTCAGTAAAAGTGAACCCGGAGGCTTTGCAGGAGAGGCGGAGAGAGTCTCCGGGCTTTTTCACATCCCCGCCAGACTCCACCAGCTGGACCTGCGAGCGGGCACCTGGGAAGAAAGACACAACACAAATCACATTAAAAGGGCAATAGTATCACATTCACTTGACTGTGTGAATTACACAGGGCACAAAATACCTTCCAAAGCTGCCAATATGAAAATTAAATGGAGCCAAAGTCTCATTTTCCCTGGTGTTGGAGGGAAAAGTTCTCAGGGGACTAGCCAGTAACTGCACAGACCCAGGGGCTGCAGATTGTCTCTCCGGGTGCAGCCTGCGCAGAGAGAGGGACAGATTTAAACAGGAAACGGTCACCCCTATTTGCATATCCCGCTCCTTATAAGAGACAGACTCCTTCCATTAACTAAGGGAATTACTCTCAGTAGAGCTCTGAGACGAGTCTGACTCTCTCTGCATTTCTGCAACTAACAACCTGTGGTGAGCCCCTGAATATACATTTGCCTGGTCCAGTGTCCATTGTACTCACTGCAAACATATTCATAAATGAGTTCCATACTAAAGTTTCTAAAGGTAATAAAAGTTTTTTTATATATATATAATAAGCAACCTCTGTGTGTCCTACGGGGCTAACACAGACTACGCCGATGTGGGTCTCTTGCTTGCTTCTGCCTAGAAACCTTGCCTCCCAGAGTCCAAGCAGCATAGAGACAATGAATTCCTTCTTCCCAGGGGTTTGTATTCCCTCCCCTCACCCCCAAACCCACCACATGCTCTGAGCTGCAAACGTAAGGGATGGAAGGAACTTGAATGACTTATCTTTATAGGGGGCAGAGCAGAAAAACAAAGTATTTGTCCTCTTTAATGTTCCACAATAGACCATCTGCTGTTGGACCTTACCTGTGGGGAAGGAGATAACACTTTCTGATGATCTTCAGCATATCACTCTAATTAATGTGTCTCTCCTGTCTGGTGATTCACACAGTCACAGAAGCTCAGAATACAACCACCCAAATATTATCTTACTCTATGGGATACATATGTTAGAAGTGATATTAATGCATGTGTTCAATAAAACCTAAACACTAAATACATTCTTATAATCCTAATACCTAATGTAGCAATGCTAGCACACAGGTGAGACAGACCTGTTCCAGTTATCTGTTTGTTAGTGTTCAATTTAGACATGGGGACCTTGGTGTGAGCTGGCAACTTTTCTACCTGTGTCATAGATAGATAGATAGATAGATAGATAGGTAGGAAATCACAGCCTACAACAAATCCAACACCTTCTTGAAAGAGACCATCATCTTTCACACACCTCTGACCCTGGTACAGAGAGATTGTCAGGAGTGTCTGCCCTGCTTTCTAGCAAAAGAGTCTTCTTTCTAATGCCTAATCCCAAACCTATAATGGGAGTCTTTGCAGTGAGTACAACGGACACTGGAGCAGGAAAATGTATATTCAGGAGCCCACCACAGGTTGTTAGTTGCAGAAATGTTGGCAGCAGAACCAGAGACTCAAAGTCATCAGTCTTTAGAGTCCATTCTTATAGGAATTAATTCCTATGTTAATCTATGGGAGCTGTTTCATCCTGGTGTTGCTGACTCAATCAGCAGATGGCACATTCCTGTCCAAAGTGGCACATTCCTGGTGGCTCCACACTGTCCAAAGTTTGTGTTTCTCATCCTTCCAGGTGATGGGGTGGATCCCAGTTTACCCTCCAGGGGTTTTCTGGTCATCCACTTGACACATTCTTCGGCCGATGGATACTCCCTTTCTAGGCTGGAACCTCCCTAACCATTCATGTCACCTGGGAATAAAATCACGTTAAGAGTCATATCAATATTGTTTGCGAAGAACACAATATTCCCCTATATCTATAAAGAAACTAGTATGAGAAAATACCGTCAAAAGCTGCTACAAAGAAAAGGAAATGGAGGCAAAGTCTCATTTTTCCTCGTACTGGAGGGGAAAGTTCTCACAGGATTGGCTGCTAACTGCACAGACCCAGGGAGCTGCTGATTGTGAATCTGGTTGCAGCCTGGGCAAAGAGAGACACTGATTTAAACAGGAAACGGTCACCCCTATTTGCATATCCCCCTCTTTATAAGGAACATCAACTCCTTCCCCAAACAACCACACTTTCTGCATCTGGGGATCCAAAACAAAGGAGGAAGACCCATTGTTAGAGAAATAAGGATTGAAAGAGATCTCAATCCCTTAAAATGATAGATAGATAGATAGATGTCTTCAACAATGATAACATTCCTCAGGGGCGTTTGTCAGTCAACTTTACGTGCTTCGTTACTGCTTATATTTCCTGCCATGGTACTGTCAGACCAATGATTCCTGCCAGTAATAACGGAATATAGAACATGAAAGGATTTTATACAGTCCTCCGGACATTCAGTCAAATTCTAAATATTTCATCTACTCCGTTCTGTAAAATAAAACTGAGCACAAATCGGCGCCATTGACATAACGTTGACTATTGGGGTTAATTCCTGTCTTTTCTTAGATTTGGCCATTTTAAAAGCAAACACGGTGTGAACCCACCGTTGGTTTTGGTGATGGGCTTTGTCCCTGTGATCCAGTCTCTCACATAGTGACACGGACTGTGTCCTCGGGTCTCCGGCTGCTCGTTTGTAAATACAGCCGGTTGTTGGGATTGTCTTGGGAGACAACGAATCGCCCTTTCACCGACTAGGTGTAGTGTGAACTCTTCCCTGTGTACTCCACCCTGGAGACCCACTCCAGATACTTCCCAGGAGCCTGACGGACCCAGCACTGAAGTTTAACCCTGAGACATTACTGGCGAGTCGGAGTCAAAGTGCACCTGCAGGTTTTCTATGTGCAAATGAGCATGTTGGGTAGGTACAGAGTTAAAAATCATGTTTTCCAATCTCCACTGCCCTTTTTCAGGCTTGTCCCCAAGGCTGAGCTGTGCTTTTTTTTTTCATTGCTGCCCCCCCTTGCTGGACGGGAGAAGAGGACCCTGCACCCCACCCCCTCTGTCTCTCACAGATTCCCCCCCATTTTGTGTTATTATTAAAACCAGAAAATGAATATTTCGGGGGTTATTTCTTTATTGATTTAACCCAGAATTTTTTTTTCTCCTAGAAAAATGCTCCTTCTGCTAGAAAAGCCACCACTGGTGGAAAAAGTATTCAACTAACCAGACAAAGAAACAAACAAACAAACAAAAGTGAGCAAACAAACAAATGGTGGGTTCTCGTGCCAAGAGCTGAGCGAGTGGTGTTTTTCTACTGGAGTGTGTCACTGACACTGACAGGGTGACACTGAGCGGAATCCCAGCACAGTGAACTGAAGAGGGCGCTCGACGGAACTGGAATGAACCAGGTTGAGGCTCCATGGCCTGTATTATGCAGGAGGTCGGACTGTTTGTCATCCTGCTCCGTTCCGGCCTTTAGGGCTCTGAATCTGTAACTGTCCAGGACACTGTGAGTGGGCTCAGAATTTGTCCCCAGCAGAGGAAAGAAAGAGGAAGAGCCCCAAATAATTTTTTTCTGTCCTTTGTGGGAACTTGTGTAAACTCTTTGATCTTCACTAAAATAAAAAAAAGAGGAATAATGATAAGAATAAAAAGGGGTTGTTGTTGCTAGACGTCTTCCCATAAGTGATCTCATTTTCACTTACAGGTCTTGGGCGCCCCCAACCCGCTTCACTAATTATTGCAGGGAGAGGTTTTTGTCTTGGCTCAGACCGGCTTCCTCTCACTGTGCTTCCCCCGCAGTGATACTGGGCGGTGTCCTCGGGCTTCAGGCCGGTCATTTGCAGATACAGCAGGTTGTTGGAGTTGTCCCTGGAGATGGTGAATCAGCCTTTGACTGCGTCGGAGTAGTAGATATTTCACCCTCTGCTGCCGATGAATGACACCCACTCCAGTCCCTTCCCGGGAGCCTGGCGGACCCAATTCATATTGTAGCTGCTGAAGGGGAACCGGGAGGCTTTGCAGGAGAGGCGGAGAGAGTCTCCGGGCTTTTTCACATCCCCTCCGGACTCCACCAACCCCTGCGACCGGGCACCTGGGAAGAAAGACACAATACAAATCACATCAAAAGAGCGATAGTATAACATTCACCTGACTGTGCAAATTACTCAGGAGACAAAAATACCTCCCAAAGCTACAAAAATGAAAACTAAATGAAACCAAAGTCTCATTTCCCCTGTTTTGGAGGGGAAACTTCTCAGGGGACTGGTTGGTAACTGCACAGACTCAGGTGGCTGCAGGTGGCTCTCCGGGTGCAGCCTGGGCAGAGAGAAGAACAGATTTAAACAGGAACCTGTCACCCCTATTTGCATATCCTGCTGCTTATATAGAAGAGACACAAACCCTTTCTGTGAATGATCAGTTATTTGTCCGGTGGCTCTAAGGGAGGGAGTCGGACTGCTGCTAACTCTGTGCCTGGGCAGCGCCCAGCGAGAGCGGGGCCATCCTGACCAGACTGCTGCACAAAGAGCTCCCTTGAAATCCCTCAGATCCCTCCAAGTGTAAGGGTTGAGATACAGTCTGTTGAAGGGAATGGAAAGACCCACCACTGGCTTTAGCAGAGTTTGGATCAGACCCTTACAGTGAAGACTATTCGAATAGTGATCAGGGCAGTATCGTGTGAAAATCTGTGTTTGTATTGAGGCCAGAGGAGTTTGGAACCTGATGTCTCCTTTCAGGAGTGTGTTAGATCTATAGTGCCATGGGGTGATTTTTCAAAGGAAGTTGAGAGCATTAGTACCCAAAAAACGCAATGGGATTTTGACGCCAGCGCATTTAGGCTCCTTTGAAATCCAAGGCCTCGTTATCACACCTTGAGAATTGATTCCCCAAATACTCCTCTTCTGTGCTGTGCATTTTTACTTTGGTGTCTGATAAGGTCCACAGGTGGATATTCAAGAAGCCCCAGTTTTATGGACACATGATCATAGATGGATATTGAGCTCTGAAGCCTAGTGACTGATTTTTATTCACACTGTCTGTAGCTCCCGTTCCTGTCCCCAGGGCTGGATTGTTTGTGGAAGTGCTGCCCCCGTGCGACACATGGGAGAAGGGCAGTTCTGCCGCTTGGGTTTTTGTATGAGCCCTGTCGGGATTCCCCTCACTGTGTCTCTTGCACAGTGATACCAGGCGGTGTCCTCAGGTTTCAGGCTGTTCATCTGCAGGCAGGGCCGCCCAGAGGATTCAGGGGGCCTGGGGCAAAGCAATTTTGGG